AGCGGGAAGGCTGGGGAGGGTTGGGGGGCAGAAGGGAGGGGAGTAAGAGATCAACCGAAGACCTTGAATGCATGCATATAAGCATAACTAATGGACATAAGACACTGGGGGGTAAGGGAGGGCAGGGGATTGTCAAGGGCGGGGGGGGGGAGGACACATATGTAATACCGTTTGTAATACTTATTATAATATATTTTTTTAAAAAGAATAAAAAAAAATTATAAAAAAAAATATGTGTTCCTGTATGTCATAAGCAATTAACATATAATATATACAAGGTAGTCAAAAGAATGTTTAACCAAAAAATGCAGTTATTAACCAAGATAAGGATACAGAAACAATTCTTCAAAAGCTATGTACAAATGACCAACAGGAATATAGAAAATGCTTTCCTCACTGATCAAGGTGGAATCCCTTAGGCTTCCTGCAACACTACCAACCACAAGTCCTTCCCTGTGAATTTAGTGCAGCGGAAAGTATTGGGACTTCAGGAATAGAAGGGAGCAGTGGAAAGAGACCAACCCACCCCAGGACAGCAACTACCCAAGAAATTGGAAAATCCAGCAGGACCACAGTCTACGTGGGAGGACAGAGCACACCCTGGGGGATGGGGCCTAGGGAATCGCAAAGCCAAGTCCAGGTCACTGGTGAGAGTGAGGGTCTTACCCAGCGAGGATGTAAGTTCAAAGTTCTCCAGCATCACATTCAGGTACAGCTGTCTCTGACCCTCATCAAGGAGGCTCCATTCCTCCCTGGAGAAGTACAGGGCAATGTCCTCAAAGGTCACGCCAACCTGTCAGAATGGAGACAATTGAACCCACAGCTGTCTCTCTGAGAACCAGTAATTCTACTCCTTACACACCTTCCCCCCCTCAACCTCCTCCTTAGTGTGGACACCAGGCCCTAATGCCAATGCAGGCTGCTCTCTCATCACAGTCCCATTAATCCCTCAGCAGAGCAGCTGGGTTGGGTGGGAAGGATTAGGGAGGGGAGGGTAGAGGGCAATGCCATTTAAGGTCTAGGCGATGCCTGCAGAGCCCCAGCCTTCCTGCCAAGCAACACCACTGCAGACTCCTAGATCCTTGGTCAGAAAACTGCAGCTGGCGAGCCACATGTGGCTCTTTGGCCCCTTGAGTGTGGCTCTTCCACAAAATACCACGTGCGGGCATGCACGTACAGTGTGTTTGAAACTTCATGGTCTGGGCGAGTCTATTTTGAAGAAATAGATATTTGACTCTGTTGACTAATGAATGAGTTTGCTGACCACTGTCCAAGATCCTGCCTCCAAGACAAAGCCAAGCGTGGGTTTATGCTTCGCTTTTATGTCCCCACAGTTAGGTCGGAGACAGCCCAGGATCGGATACATGCAGACATGTGAGGAGATAATGGACTCCCCCTGGCATTTCTAACAGATCAGCATTCCAGACACAGATACGGCCTTCTCCACGACCCCCACTCAGATACTGACTAATTCCTGAAGACCTTGCTGACCCCCTGCAGCTGAAACTTCCTCAACTGAATACCTCAGCTCATGTCCCCGCCCCTCACCCAACCGCAGTATAAAAAAAGGGCCACCCTACCTATTGGCATGAATCCACATGCCCTGTCCTTGGGGGTAGTGGGTCTCACGGGGACGCAGAATAAACTTTCAAACCTTCCTTCCTTTTCTGATCTACTCCCTTTATTTCCTTCGCCGCCTCCTGAGCCACCTAACCTAACACCACACCAGGTCCCGGGACCATCAGCTCACACTTCCTCCAGATGTGCTCACCACTGGGTAATCTTTACCCCCTTTGCATGTTCAGACTCCAGGTTCACTCCCTCAGCTCTGCCCCCTTCCTGCTCCAATGCCACTGGGTCTCGCTGGACTCACCCATGAACTTGGCATATGGCGTGTAGAGAGCTTGTAGTCCAGCCGGATCCAGGCCCTCCCCAGGCCCCTGATGGACCCACAGCCGGGAAAGCCCGAGTGAGTCTGTGTCGTCCTCCCTGCAGCCTCTGATCTTTCCGTCAATACTCACAGCCACATCCTCAGGGACCTACAGATGCAAGTCACCCCCGTCCTCTCTGCCCTGCACTTGCTGTGTCCTCAGAAGCCACAACACTCCTCTCTCCCCTCCGCCTTCCTCACGGTCCTCCACGCGGGACTGAGCTGCAGGACAGGACAGGCGCCCTCCCCAGGCTGTGGTGTCTGTGTGAGGAGGCGGTGAGGGCCTGGGGGACTCGAACTCACCTCAGACCGTCTCCTCAGCGGGGGGCGCCGCCATTGCCCTCGTGGGCTGAGCGGGGCGGAAGCGGCGGGAGTAGAAGCCGCTGCAGGAATGGCGGTCCCTGTCCCGGCCCAGGCGTGGGTCGGGGCGGTGACTCCGAGCTTCAATCCCACGTGTGAGCTGTGAGCACCACTGGAGGCTCCGACTATTGGCTGTGAGGCGGGGAGCACCACTCTCCGGCCTTCTCAACGGGACCGCGAACACGGAAAACCTCACGGCCCGAGACAAAAACCTGAGAAGGCAAAATTCTGCCACGAGGACCACCGGTTCCGCCCTACAGAAGGGGCCAAATGGAAATGCCTTCTCTGCGCCTCCATTGGCTCAGCCTGATCCCATTCCTTGCATGGCCTTGTGGGTAATGTAGTTTCTAAGCTCCAAGGCCAGGATCCTGTATTTCTCAGTTGACTCAAGGACTGGACTTAGGGGCAAATAGCCCAAGAATATGTTAATTGCTTATGACCAAGTATACTAAGGGTCCTCTAGCGCCTTCAGTGGAGGTGATGTCTGGGGCAAGTGTCTTTCTCGTGCACTTGCTGTGGCTGCTTTTGCATATCTTTCTTACAGGACCTGCTCTTTCTGAACTGCAGGCATTGTTTCTTCATTCTTGGAATTTGGCATGTGTCTCCTTAAGGTCAGATGGAGCTTGCAGAAGTTACTCAAGTCTCTCACTGACTCTAACCTGCCTGCATTGAATCCATTACATAAAGTTAATGTCACAAAACAGACACTCATACTTAAGAGCATCTGCTGCTGATGCCATCCAAAGGATCAGCTCTGCCTGGGCTGCAGTGTGGATAGATGGCCAAGAGACAAGTGAAAAAATGCTCAAAGTGACTGATCACATGAGAGATGCAAATTAAAGCAAAAATTAGGTATCACTTCACCACTTTCAGAATGGCTGCCATCAACAAATCAACAAATGACAAGTGCTGGGGAGGATGTGGAAAAAAGGGAACCTTAGGACACAGATGGTGGAAATGCAAACTGGTACAGCCGTGATGGAATCAGGTTGAAGTTCTTGCCAAAAATTAAATATGGAACTGCCATTTAATTCAGTGATTCGACACCTGAAACAATCACATCGATAGTATGCACCCCTGTGTTCACAGCAGTAAATTTATAATAGCAAAGATCTGGAACTGGCAAGTGCCCAACCATAGATGGGTGGATAGAAAACTACGGTATATTTATACCACGGAATGCTTTGTGGTAGTAAAAATGAAGACTCTCTTACCCTTTCACACAGCATGGAGGGACCTGGAGAGCGTCATGCTAAGTGAAATAAGTCAGTCACAGAAAGAGAAGTATCACTTCATCTCACTCATATATGGAACCTAATTAATAAAAATACCCTGATGAATGGAGTGAATTCAGAGTGCATAATCACAGAAGTGAAGACATGGGAAGGTAAAAGAAAAAGAAAAAACAGAAAAAACATCCTTCAGTGAGGATTAAGCAAACACACACAAATAATAAAAACAAAGTCACGTGAGACTTGAGTATTTTCTTCTGTTCTCTGAAAGCAATGGGAAGGCCCTAGCTTGCTGTGTTCCAAATCTGCACAAAATTTGTGTTTATAAATCTCTCTTCTGTGTGTTGTGTCCCTGGAAATGCTGATACCCCTCCATGTAACTTCCTCCTGCTTCTCATGAATCTATTGCTTTGGGGTTGTTGTAATAAATGTCCAAACCCGTGGAGAATTTTTCTCAGTTTATTTGACCCAAGCCTAGGACACTGCCAGGAAGCAAAATAACATCAGATTGAGTTGGGAGAATGGCAGTTTTACACCTTCTTTATACATTAGACTCAAAGGAGAAGACATAAGGGGGTTACATTAAATTCTCTGGTGATAATTTGTGTGTGTGGGGGGGGGTAGAGTTAAGAAGGGACATCTCTGGGATTGGATTAAAAGTAAAAAAAAAAAAAATAGCCCTAACCGGTTTGGCTCAGAGGATAGAGTGTTGGCCTGCGGACTAAACGGTCTCAGGTTCGAATCCCGCCAAGGGCATGTATCTTGGTTGCGGGTACATCCCCAGTAGGTGGTGTGCAGGAGGCAGCTGAATCGATGTTTCTCTCTCATTGATGTTTCTAACTCTCTATCCCTCTCCCTTCCTCTCTGTAAAAAATCAATAAAATATATATATTTTTAAAAAATAAAAAAAAATAGACACAACTTCTTTTTAAATGTTATAGAATAATTAACACTTAATATTTAACACAACAACAATAATAATTGGGATTGTGTGGTCTTCTGTGTTGGGAGATTGTGTCCTTAGGATTCTGTAAAATGAAAATTTTCTTGAAAATCCAAAGGTATGTTATCCCAGATGCAAAAAGACTATAGTCAGGCTCAAAAAGATAAAAATTGACCTTTGCAAAACAGAACAAATCAAAACAAAACAAAAGCCAAAAACAAGTCTGGGATATAATTATCCCCGTGACTCACTTTTACTTAGAAAACTTTACATTCAAACTATCATATATGGTTACTTTTGGCCTCTGAGTTTGTAAGATTGGCCAGGCCATGCCAGGCTCCCTGAGCTTGCTAACTTTAGTATCTGCCATCATTTTCATCCATACTGGAGGGGTAGAACCTGTGCGTTGAGAAGAAAATTCAATGAATGGTATATTTCCTGCTGGACCCATTGTTCACATCCTCCTTAACAGAATGCTTTGTAGGGCTGGAGCCCGTTTATTTGGTCTCCTAGAAGAATTCACTCTTCAGGTCACTAAAGCCTTAGGTTCTAAATGTAGTGGAGATATTTGTAAGGACAAGAAAAAGGTTTTTCTTTTCCTTTGCTGTGCTCTTCCACAATTTATGAGAAACACCTGCTAATTAAACCCTAAGATTGTTGGCTCCTCTAATTCAACAACTCCTTTGTTCAAACTGCTGAACAAGATCACTTATTTTCAAGGCCACATTCTTGCTACCTCTCCTCTCTGCTGTTGTCGCACCTAAGAGATAATTTGCACCAAGGAGTCTCTAGTTAGTAGAAAGTTTCTTTCCCTCCGCCCCTTCAAACTAGCCTCTTTTGAACTCTACATAACTTTGTCTCTAGTCATATTTTCTAAGCTTGGGAAAAGTACTGAGAAGTCACCTCTCTATACATCTGCCAGACTGTCTCCTGGAAGGCAAACAAACTTTAACTTTTAAAAACAGCCCCGCATATCTACTCAATTTAAGCGCAACCCAATGCCCCTCCATTCCTGGTCCCTTAACAACAGGCACAGCTGAAAAGCAGAAGCCACCCTTTATCCCTGCCCTGTATTGACTAGCAATACCTGGCCATTTGTTCTCTTGGAATGTAAAAGAAACTTTCCCTCTTCATGTCTCTTTTAGCTCTGAGTTCTTTCAAAGCCTGCACTTTCAGCCAAACCTGAACAGTATTTCTTTATTCTGAGGAGTTTAGTAGGTCAAAATTAGGAAAAC